GATTGCATAGTGTGATGACAAAAAACTGTTAATCTACATTCCATGGCGTTACTATAAAGGAAGCCATTAACACTACTTCAGAGAGGAAAAACTACCACCATATATTTTAAAGAATCTGATTGGTTCTGTAAAGTATGGGTCTGTTCCGAATAATATGGTTGCAATCCTATGGCTAATGTTATTTACTATCGAGGGTCACTTTCTTATTCGGTGTGGTTTGTTGGTGTGTATTGACAAAAGAAATTGTTTCTAATCAAAATCACCTTAGATGTGAAAATAAGGTGCGACCAAAAAAAAAAGGATTCAGCATGCGCCTCAAAAGAATTAAATCAAAACTGGCGGCCAAACTGTTCAACTTGGGGCAGCTGCCTAGCAAACTAATGAATGAATATTTGCTATAAATTTCTTATCAATGCTATAAGTGTAGCCACCAGTTTGGACGCCAGTTTTTATTTCATTCCTTTAAGTCGCACGCTGAAACCTAAGGTGTTTTTGATTAAATTGTAAAATATAATTAACCAGATGACAATCTTCAAATAATGTAGTGATTGATCACTGTTCAATGTATAACAATTTCCGAACAGAATAAGCTATGAACTTCGAACGAAACTAAAAACCAACCTGATCATCAGAATAATTAATTAAATACACTTTTCTTACGTTTTTACTTATTGCAATTATAATTCATTGTTCCATCAGTTGGGTACCCTCGCCAATAGCGACATTATCGGTCATAAACCCGGCTCGGCCAGCTTAAGAGATTTGGGTTAATCCTAAACACACATTATAAGCTAACAATGCGAAACAATTATTTCTTATAATGAAAGTATGATAATAAATTATAAATAAAAAGTAATTACATTCGATATTCTAACTGGTATAAATAATACTTTGTTAGAATATTCAAATAATTTAAAAAAAAAACGATTTGTATGCGCATGCGGGTCCTGATAGAAGAAAACGGAGGAACACGATTTTCCTTAGCTTTCCCAGGTTTTGGGATTTAAAAAGGAATTTCCTCGATTTATATTACTCAATCAAATTCCAGGTTCGTGTTAACCCCGAGTAATAAAAAAAGATTATCAATATATACCTTTCTTACTTTATAAGACCCGATTAATTATCATAGGTCTGGAGGTATAGATGCTGATGATCGTATTTGACCTTACACCTGGTGGTTTTATGAAATTATTCTGTAAAAATATCAAAGTTAGCTAAGTTATACCCCTCAATCCACACCTCGAAAAGCCCAATTACTTTACATCAAGTCAGTGTCGACATCATCAGTTCAACATCCCAAAATGACGTAGTAACTTTTTTCTTTTTTTTTTTAAATATAAAGACTTACAAACTAGGAATTTTATTATCACGAGAGATTATTAGCCCTACTCGGTGTATTCATCTTTAAGGATTTCTTTTTGTATTATATCATTATTTCTTTTTTTATCACCATGCTATCAACCTGATTTCTGTCATTTTCAGTTGTCACTGGATAAGCTGAGCTATAATATTATAACACCTCTATCTTAATGAGATGAAGAAAAGGGTTAAGTAAAATAAACCAATATTCCAGTATTTTTGTACCAATTATTTGTATAAAGCTATACAAGGTCTATCTGCGCTATTCGTCTTTAACTTTGAATTTGCAGACCAGAGGGACGGCAGCTAGTCCATAGCACCCATCGCCAACTCTTGGGCTGTTCTAATCGGACTCAATGTGTGGAGTTTATTATTTTGTGTTAACGAAACGCGAACCATGGGCTCTCCAATATACAACCCGGCTCGCATCTTTCCGTAACATGCAGCCTCAACAATGTAGGATGAAGCCCCTTCAGTGTTCTGCCTCTCAAATGAATTTCGAATATTTGAAATGGCCGATAGGTGACAATGGTTTGTATCGAACTAGCATACGTCTGTCTGCGGACTTATAACGCTAGAAACCAGGTTTCGATAACCGTGGTGGGCAGAGCACAGATAGCCCATTGTGTAGCTTTGTGCTTAATTACAAACAAACAAGCATAACACTTACATGCCCTAGAAAACCACCATGACAAGAATTACTAGCAAAATAAGAACAGTGTCTTCAGTACTAAAATACTCTTTCAAAATAGATTTTCGTCTTACCATCCAGGGCCAACCACCAACATCTGCCTCGCGTCCACCTATAATTCTGTTGCTTGAAATATTACGCATTCCACATCCTGAAATATTCAAAAACAGTCTGGGAGAACAGTTTATCATATCTTACAGCTATTAATCGTTTTCATTGCGATCTACAAGCTATGTTTAATACATTTACAAAAGAGTATTTACTTTGTTTTTGCTGCTGTTGTATATCTGTTCTGTATAATACAGCTTAGATTTTGTAATGTTTCCTTTTAATAGGTATAACTAATAATGTACCTACATTTTTCTATAACTATACAAAAAATATTAATATCATAAATAACCTCTTAACTACACATTGTAAGATAAAACCCGAAAATAGAGCATCATTAGCTACTAGAACTCAATCATAAATGTTTGTTAAAACAAGATGGCCATTAAAAGTGTGCAACTACACTGAAAAAGATAGAACAAAAAAGGAGTTTGTGAGAGGTACATAAAAACTAAAAACAAACACTGAAAACGCATAAAGAAGGAATATAAATTTCAAGTTTGTGTTTTAACTGGTTTCTTGGCATGTCCCTCTTCCAGATATAACAACGAACCTTGGATCTGTTGACTTTTTTTCGTATACATGTGATCAAATGTTGGTCGATAAAGCTTAGAGACGACTAGAATGAGTAATGAAAAAAAATATTATATGTTAAATACAGCAACAAATGTAGAAATTATCTACAAGGTTTGTTATCATCAATGAACAGAAAAGATTAGAACAAATGTTGGTTAACGCACCAATACTGAACAAAAATAGATTAGAACAAATGTTGGTTAACGCCCCAATACTGAACAAAAATATATTAGAACAAATGTTGGTTAACGCCCCAGTACTAAACAAAAATATATTAGAACAAATGTTGGTTAACGCCCCAGTACTAAACAAAAATAGATTAGAACAAATGTTGGTTAACGCCCCAGTACTAAACAAAAATAGATTAGAACAAATGTTGGTTAACGCACCAGTACTGAACAAAAATATATTAGAACAAATGTTGGTTAACGCCCCAGTATTGAACAAAAATAGATTAGAACAAATGTTGGTTAAAGAGGAACAGAAGAAGATTAGGGCAATTGTTGGTTAACAGGTCAGCAAGGAACAAAAGAGATGAGAAGAAATGTTGGTTAACGTGTCAGTACTAAACAAAAATAGTTCGTATCAAATATTAACCAATCTTATGATGGAGGTGTTTGCACACCACGAACACAGTGAATCCTCGTTATTCCGGACACCGGCAACCCCGATGAATTGTGAATAATCTACCTCCATCATAAGTTTGCACACCACGAACACAGTGAATCCTCGTTATTCCGGACACCGGTAACCCAGATTATTCACAATTCATACGATTTTTTTCATATAAAGAAATCACCACAACGGGAAATTTAATCATCAATCCACGTATTCGCGTTCTGAATCCAAAAAAACTATTTCTTATAACAAAAATGAATTTCCTGTGAATACATGATACACTAACCAGCACCTGTCTTTACGAGAGTCAAGTAGGGAGTCGATTAGCACAGGAACCTAGGTGATAATTACTAACCACATAACACCTACACTCGCAGTGGGTGCTGGTTTACGACACTTGTTCCAAGAATAAACTTCGCAGCAGAGATATACCGAGTCAGAGTAATTCATGCTACAGGCATATCAAGTCAAAACCAAAGAGGCATGAAAATACGATGTTTATAGAAGAAAGTAATACCTGTACTGTGTGTTTTGTATCGAACAAACAAGTAATTGGTATGAACATAATCATGGTTTACTCGAGTATTTATTTTTGACATCATATGGTACTTTGATCATTCAATTTGTTCAATTACTGACGTCATACAAAATAATAAACTATTAAGTTTATTGAACATACAGTTGCTTTTTTGTTTACTAGTTTCAAGCCCACCTTTATTAGATGCCATCCTTACACTTATCGATCAATAACGCACGTTATTAATAGTGTTCATTGTATTCAAAGTGACTGATTCGACTATCCGGATGTCTCAATAATATAGAAAAACTACTTTATTACAAATGTTCGGGCTAATGAGGTTCCACTTTACAAGTTTAACAGTGTAACTTACGGTTCGGTAGTTGGTGTGGTACTATATCTGGTGGTGGTTCGTTGGGTCTTGGTGTAGGAATTACAGATGGTCCAGAAACCGGACAGCAGACAATAGGTACAGTTCCATCATATCCACAAATGGCCTCTAAGAGACGTTTGGTGTCCGTCTCTTGCATCAGTTCCCTACACTTTAAAATACTTTTACAGATCCCTTCTGGAATAAAAGATCTGGAACACTTTTCGTGACCAAACGAAAGTTCTGGATCATCGGGAAAAACAACTGCGGTGATAAGAATGTCAGTATTACAAAAATTGTATCAATACGTTATGGATCGTCGGGAAAAAACAACTGGAGTGTTAAGAATATAAATGACTTAGCATAGTCTAGAGGTTATGACACTCAACTCGCAATCTGTGGGTCGCAGATTCGAATCCCATCAGCAAAAATGCACACACTTTCAGCCGTGGAGGCGTTATAATGTGATAGGCAAGTCCCATCATTTGATAAGAAAAACCTACGAGTTGGCGGTGGGTGGTGTTGACTAGACGCCTTCCCTTTAGTCTGTCACTGCTAAATTAGGGACGGCTAGTGTAGATAATCTTCTAGTAGCTTTATGCGAAATTCAAACAAATTAACTTCAATATTAGAATAATAGGACAGTACGTTCTGAATCTTTGGGAAAAACAAAAGGAGTGATAAGAAAACTGTTTTTGTTTGTTTTACCATAAAGCTACACAGTAGGTTAGCTGCGCTCTGGCCATCACGGAGAATTGAACCCCGGAGTTTAGTGTTGTAAGTCTGTAAACTTACCGCTGACCCATCGTGGGACTACAAAAAAAAAGTGACGATACGTTTTGTGCTCTTGGGTTTTAATGCTCTCGATAGACAGAGCACAGGTAGCCCATTGTGTAGCTTTGCGCCGATCATTTTTTTTTGTTTGTTTGTTTTGTTAAATATTGAACAAAACTACTCGAGGGCCATCTTCGCTAGCCGTCTAACTTGGAGGTTATAGACTAAAGGGTTTGTTTATTGTTAGAAAACGAAGATACACAATGGGCTATCTGTGATGTGCCCACCACGGCTATAGAAACCCAGTTTTTAGCGTTATAAGCCTTATGGTGGAACTAGACTGGAGGAAAACTAGTTAACACCACCAACCGCAAACTCTTGGACTACTCTTTACCAGTGAAAAGTGAGATTGAACGTCATATTACAACACCCCCACGGTTAAAAGGGGCGTATGTTCGGTGACTGGATTCGAACTAGAGAAGTGCGAGTCGATCAACCTAAGTACTAGACCATTACAAGGCGCGCCTTTAACAAACAATACTGGAATATACAACTTGGGTGATAATAGTATCAATATTACAAAAATAGTGACAACAAGTTCTGCACTCCGGGGTTTCGATACTCTTGATGAGCAGAGATATTGATAATTATCAATATCGGAACAAAATGGTCAATAAAAATAGGTAATGTGTTTAGGTAGAACTTGAACTGCCAAGTAACATTTACTCCTCAATAAAAAATTAAGTCATATAATTAATAGTTTTAAAGATAAGGGATAAATGTGATATATATAAAATTTCATGTACTTGTGGTCTAAGTTATATTGGACACAGAAATGGGAACTTAAAATTTAGAATAAAAGAACATCCAAATGCGGTGGATAAATTAAAAACAAGTGTATCGGCTTTGGCAGAACATGTGGCGAATTCTACACGTGTTATTGACTGAGATAATGTAAAAATACTTAAACAGGTAATGGAAAAAGATGAACTAAACATAACAGAATCCTTAGAAATTGTTAAAAACAAAATGAATATAAATAGAGATTTAGGCCCAGGAGCCATGGTACTAAATTTCTGGAAATCGTTGTTGTAAATGGCGCCACTATAAAAACATGTTAATTATACACGTATATTAGGTTTATAAGAAACTTCCTGTGTACTGTACTTCGTGGTTTATTCTCCTGAATATTGTGGAATTATTTACAACGAAACATGTAGTTTTTAAAGTTTTTTTTAACTTATATTTCTTACACTTTACAAAAATTAGTGTGCAAGTAGAAAACGCCCCCTAGTGGCACAGCGGTATGTCTGCGGACTTACAACGCTAAAAACCGGGTTTCGATACCCGTGGTGGGCAGGGCACAGATAGCCCATTGTGTAGCTTTGTGCATAACTACAAACAAAACAAATACCACCCAGTGGCACAGCAGAATGTTAATTATACACGTACATAGGTTTATAAGAAACGACATGTGGTTTATTTTCCTGAAGATGGTGTAATTATTTAGTATATTCATCTTAAAATGTCTTTCGTTTTCAAAGGAGACCCAAAACACGAGCGCTTTAGAATAGTTCATTATTCTTCTTCAGGAAAACCATTACAACTCTTGTATGTGATCCTGCAAAAAATGTCTCTTGTCATACTTCCTTCATATATGATCTTACACGACCTTCAGTTTTCCTGACGCTCCTACAATGTTGAGAGAATTACGACTACTTCTCTATGTCAGTCGTATTAACTCCACAATAAATTTAGGTTTCATTTATCCAAAAAATTGCATCGTATATTAGCGCGCACGCGGTATAAAGCCTCGTTAAATACATTCTAATCTTTATGTTTTAATTATTTTATATCGATTTATTACATTGTATATGCTTCTTTTCTGTCCCTTTTTAACCGCTTCATAGCGGCTCGTAGAATGGCTCCGATTTTTTAAGTACAAACCTTTAGCTCATAACTCCATCTCTTGACCGATTTGAGATGTAATTATAGCCGCGACCATTGAAGATTCCTCTTGTTTTAATATATATGAGAGAGAGATTGAGAGTTGGCTTCAAATCTAAGAGTTATTTTTTCTAGTCTTGATTTGCACTAAGTTAGCTTACTTTTGATCAGAAGCCATTAATAATTATAGTATAATAAAACTTATTTTCTATACCAATACTATAAATTATCACGAGTTACTTCTCTGCAGAATTGAAAATTTGGGCAAAATTGTTTTACGGCTTAATAGCATGGATAACAGATTTAAATGCTGGTGAATTTAGTACCACGCTAACGTTTTCTTTAACATTTACATTCGATAACTTATAGAATACGATATCAACGTTTTCCATACACGAATTACCATACACAGAACAAATGAACATTTTAAAACCTCTTGGGGCAGCACATAAATACTGCAGAACAGTTTGTTTGTTTGTTTTGAATTTCGCGCAAAGCTACACGAGGGCTATCTGCGCTAGCCGTCCCTAATTTAGCAGTGTAAGACTAGAGGGAAGGCAGCAAGTCATCACCACCCACCGCCAACTCTTGGGCTACTCTTTTACCAACAAATAGTGGGATTGACCATCACATTATAACGCCCCCACGGCTGAAAGGGCGAGCATGTTTGGTGGGACGGGGATTCGAACCCGCAACCCGCAGATTGCGAGTCGAGCGCCCTAACCACCTGGCCATGCCGGGCCCTGCAGAACAGAAAGTTAGTCCTTATTGTGTAATTTTATCTAACACAAGGTTTATTAATGACACTATTTTCCTAAAACAACTGTAAATCGTACAACAACAATAATAAATAACGTATACTTACTTTGTCGTCGCAGTCTACTCAAATCACTGCAGTAGACTGTAGAAAATGTGAATGAGACCCACAACAATGATGAACAGATGACGCTGATGTTCCCCAACATGTTGTGATGTATACCTGAAATATTTATTTTTAAAATATTGAAGGATAGAACATAACGCACAAGTTCTCGTTTCTCTCAGCTTCCGCAGTATAAGAAAAAACTAATAAAGGAACATTTTATTTAGGCCTATCTAAAGGATGACGTTGTAACATCAAAACATGTAGCCGTCAACTTTTTGAAGGCCATAGATAGGCCTAA